TCCTTGGAGAGGGACATCATGCTTGGGAGGGTGGAGGGACAGCGCAGGAGGGCAAGACCCTGTCTGAGGTGGAGTGATTCAGTGACTGGGGTAATTGGGATGGGTGTGTCAGAGACAGTGCGATTGGGACAAGATAGAGCAGAGTTTAGAGCTGTTGTACATAGGGGTCGCTATGAGTTACAAGCGACTTGATGGCACATAACAACAACAAAAAAAAGGAAAGTAAGGCAAAGTTTGACCATCCTTGCCTCTCTGGCTGCACTTTCTCCAAGAAAGAGCAAAGTGGAAACCTCACTGCTTTCCTCTGGCCTTAACTCCTGCATTACTGATCAGAACAGTGCTGTGGCTTTGGGACTGAGGGACAGTAGTTAACCTGCCACCTTTACCAGGCTGTGTGTCCCCAAGGGCAAGAGCTTTATCTTGCCATCTTTAGATCCCAGTCTCTCTCATGCAATGCACAGCCCAGATGAATTCTACCTGCAGGGTATATGCACCCACAGCTGACCCGAGGGGCCGTGCCTGCTGAGGGCAGGGCTGAAGGTGAGGACACCAGACATAACTTGCTGGCTTCCTGCTCTCACGGAGCTTGTGGTCTGGTAGGGAGCAGGGGAAACAGACAGTAGACTTGCTCATTCATGGTGGGCTCACAAGAAAATAAAACAAGACTTTGTGAAGAAGCATGTGGGCCAGGGGCTGGGGCTGAAGAGAAGTGAAGAGAGAGCCGCTTTCGACAGGAAGGCTCTGCTGGAGGTGAGACTGCAGTGGAGCCCTGAAGAGTGAAAGGAATGGGACCCGCGAGGGCCGGGTGCAGAAACTGAGAGGTATGGGCGCAGAGCCCGTGAGGGATGGGTGCACAGCCTGCTAGGGTCGGGTGCAGAACATGTGAGGGCTGAGTGCGGAACATTCCAGACAGCAGAAGCAGCTGGGCAAGCACCTTGAGGTGGCTGCAGGGACACAGTGTTTGGAGAATGGCTGGAGGCCAGCGTGAGCTCTAGGCAGGAGAGTAAAGAAGTCATAGGGTGTGGTGGGCAGCAAACTGCAGGGCCTGGCTTCTGTCCTGTGGTCACTGAAGGCCATTAGAGGACCCTGAAAAGAGGATCTAATCTCCTCTGGTCACTGTACAGGAAGGAAAACAGTGTGCAGGTGTGGAAGCGAAGAGGCCAACGTGAAGGCCACGGCAGCTCTCTAGGGACTCAGCTGGGACTGAAGCAGAGCAGGCCAGTGGCCCTGAGGCAACTGAGGCTCTAACGTGGACGTGGAGCCTCAGCACCTCTGTTGAGCTGGCTGGGGAGCAGGGATGGGGCGCAAAGGTCCCTTTGCGAGGATGGGCAGGGAAGGCGCTACTGTAGAGATCCGAGGTTGAGGAAGAAGCAGCTGAGGACAGGAGAAAGCCGGGTCTCGGGCTGAGGCTGCCCCCGCACTGGGGGACAAGCTCAAAGTGCTCCAGGAGCAAAAGGGGCCAGGCCTCTAGTGCAGTGTGGGGGAGCGTTCAGGAGGAAGGCCAGGCTATGGACAGGACAGGGGCCCGGCACGGGCTGAAAATGCAAGAGCAAAGCCATTTGCGCTTTCAAAGGAAAAGAGGGTTGCTTGGAGGTCAGCATCTGAGTGGTGAAGCACAAGCACTTAACCAATGCACCCTGTTGTTGTTGGGTCCCACTGCGTCCTAGGTGACCCTCCAGCGGGCACTCAACAGCATGAGGAAAGACTTCTCATCTTTCTTTTATTAGTGAGCAACCGGTGGATTCGTGTACCTCTGGGCAATCCGTCCCAACTTACCTCAACCCTGTGACACAGAGGATTGGCCTGACGGGGTTTTTGAGGCTACAAATCTTCACAGGAGCGGACTGCTCCTCTTTCTCCTGAGGAATGGCTGCTGTCTATCCACTGAGGATGAAGTTGTACTTCATCTGATGATGAGAGGAGCAAAGCTGGTGCTCCGGTCCCAGGTAGCATGGTGCTCTGAGACGCCACAGGAGTGGACAGTGAGGCTGTGTCAGTGGCCAGGGAAACACCAGTGTCTGTCCTTCATACGGCTGCAATGAAGCTGCCCTTTGGTCTTCAGTGTCAGCTCACCATCTCCCCCAAGTCACCAGGGAAGGAAGGGGTCCTCCAAGCCCAAGCTTAACGTGTTCAGATTATTGTGCTCACCTGCTCTTCGAATGAAGAGATCTGCCACCTGTACATCCGTAACACGTCCAGCAAGCAGCCTGCATCTAAGACCTCATCCTCCGTGACTTCCTGGCAGGATAGAGCTGGAAACAGAAACGGGAGATGGTGACTAGGTCAACGCTGAGCCTCCACTGAGTTTCCAGAACTATGTAGAGGACACTGCTCATGTTTCTCACACACAGCATTCAAACACAGGATTCAAACTGGGCCTCTGGCTTAACAGTGCCACTCCCCACAGACTCCACCAGAGCTCGCTCAACCGGCGAAGTTAACCCCGTCTGTGCTGGCAGGAACCTCTGCTGATGATTACATTTCTTTCCTATTTCTTCTTTACAGTCTTATCCACCAATCAATGTCTTAGAGACCAAAAAAAAAACCAAACAAAAAACCCACCAAAGAAATAAAACCAAACAACTCACCATTTAGGAACCTGATTTTATTGAAAGAATATTGTTTTCCTTAGATGGCAGTATTTAAATGAAGCAACTGGTTTTCTTTTTTTTTTCCTGATTTTCCGATATTCAAACATACCACCATCCGCATAAATTTACCGCTGCAAAACTCTTACTGAGCACAGTGATTTTTAACCCTCTCCTTGTTGTTGTTGTTAAGTGCCGTCGAGTCGCAGGCAACTCATAGCTGGAAAAACCTGCAAACATTCATCCAGTCTAACATTACACTGTGCACTTTGCTGTGGTTTGTTATGTGCTGTCAAGTCTCTTGGACCCATAGTGACCCTGTGTACAGCAGCTGTGAAGCCTGCCCTGTCCTGAGTCAGTCTCCCTGACTCCAACACACCTACCCTCATTGTCCCAGTTACTGTGTCAATCCATCTCATCTGGGGTCTGCCTCTCCTGTGCTGTTCCTCTACCCTTCCAAGCATGATGTCCTTCTCCAAGGATCGGCCCCTGCTGGCCACGTGCCCAAAGTAAGTGAGACAGAGCTTCAAAATTCTAGTCTCTAAGGAGAAACCTGGTTTCACCTTCTCCAGGCCACACTGCACTTACTTCTACAATATTTTTGCAAGACTGAAAAACAGGAACTCATATTTACATGTGAGTTTCTGATCATCAGAGTAAAACATCAAGCTACCAGTAGTGGCCTGAAAAGGTCTGCTGAACAATTTTGTTTTTAATTTTTAGTGGCACCAGATGTAATAAACAAAAATAAAAGTCTGATGGGCTGATGGGTTTATGTAATAAATGTCTAGGCCCAGGCTTAGCAGACCTGTTCTGTTAAGGGCAAGATAGGAAATAGTTTTAGGCTTTACAGCCTGTTGCAACTTCTGCTGTTGTAGGGCAAAAGGAGCCATAGACAATACTTAAATGGATAGGCAGCTGTGTTACAATAAAACTTTATTGACAAAAAAAGAGGCTAGATTTGGCTGACAACTGGTCTTGGCTATCTCACTCCCCACAGGAATGGACTAGTACCACCAAAGTGAGGCCAAGGACTCCCAAGGCCTATTAGGCAGGTCTGTTTTTTTTTTTCACTTGCTGCCAGTGGACTTGAGAGATTCCGTGGACCCCTCTAGAGTTCTGACTCTGGAGATTCTGAACACTGACTGTCTGCTCCCATACCTGGTCAGAGCCTAGAGGGTAATGATGGCTCCCAACACACAGAGCCCCAGCCAAAGCCTCACAGCTCTCCTTCTCACTCTTTCTACACCCTGATCTGACCTTTACCCTGCAGAACAAAGGCTGGGGAAGGCACTACAACTTCCTTCTTGCTCCCACACCCAGTGTGTTGAGCCTGAACTGTTCCCTTTAACCCAATTTTGCCCAAAATGTTGGGGGAGCAAGAGCAGTCTGGCAATGTCTACTAATACTCTACAACTCAGCAATTTTTTTCAGGATCTATCGTGGAGAAGAAGGAGCTCTGGTGGCCTAGTGGTAAGGAGCTGCACTGCCAACGCAGAGGCATAAGGTTCAAATCCACCAGCTGCTCTGTGAAAAAGAGAAAAGCAATCTCTTAAAGCAATTTTCAGCCTCTGAAAACTCACTGGAACAACAGCTATAAGTCATTCTGACTCAACGGCACACAACATTTAACAACATCCTAGAGAAGAGAGAATGGTTGTTCAGGGGTCAAATTCCTGCCTTCCTCTTGCAGGAGACCCAGGTTCGAATCCTAGCTATTACACTTCATGCATGGCTACCACCCTTCTGTAATTGGCTGGCTGCATGTTGCTAGACACTGAGTAACAATGATGACAGTTTAAAGACTAAAGAGCACCCTATCCAAGCCATGGTCTTCTCAATTGCTTCTTATGCACCTGAAAGTAGGATGGTGACTCAGGATGAGAGAAAAAAAGAACTGATGCCTTTGAGTTGTGATGCTGGAGAAGGGTACCGACTATCCCACAGGCTGCCAAAAGAACAAATCTGTGTTGAAGGAAGTGGAGTGAGAATGCTCGTTAAGAGGCGAAGATGGAGAAGTTTCATGTCAATTAACTTTCAGCACGTTTCCAGGAGGAGCCAGTCTCTGGTGAGGACTGGATGCTGGGAACCACAGAGTGCGGGAAGAAGGGGGTGGGGGAGGAGAGAGGATACCCTCCAGGGGATGAAGTGACAGGATTAGCACGATGCACTTGAGCACGGCAGGGTCTTCAGGAGGTTGTTCACAGGGTCAGGAGGTTGTTCACAGGGTCATTATGAGTCGTAGTCAACTCGATGGCAACTAACAACAGGCAAAGCATGATACCTGACTATTATTTCACTTCTGTTTCTTCAGTGATGACTGAGCCAAACATTTAAGTGTGTGTTAGCGATGTGTATTACTTCTTTTGTGAAATGACCACAGTTCCTAGACCAAGACAAATTTTTAAAGGCTTTTAAAATAAGATGACTTCTTGTAAGCAGTAGGCTACTTCTTCCTTATAAAGCTATGAAAATAGATGACATTTTAGGAAAATGGTTACATCTTTGAGTCAAACAAATAAAAACTACTGGTGGAGGCTTCCTGTTTTGTTTTTCCCCACAAAGATCGATATGATATTTTTAACACTGAAGTTGTTAATCTTCTGTCTACTACGTGGGGTTCTTTGAAAACATATCTGGTGTTGGTGGCTGAGTTGGAACTGACATCTAGCTGGCCCCCCAGAGGTTTTCAGAGGTGGTTAATTGTACTGGAGGAGGCTGCCCATCTTTCTTCTGCAAAGCAGCTGGTGGATTCAGAGAGCATACTTTTGCCAGTATACTTCTGCGCTGATAGCTCAGTTCCTTACCACTAAGCCACCAGAGCTCCTTGAACACATACATGTTATTGTTCTGTGCCGTTGAGACCTTGCAACTCCTAGCGACCCGTGTACAACAGCCCTAAACCCTGAGCCAACCTTATTGTCTCCGACACACCTACCCCATTACCCCAGTCACTGAGTCAATCCATCTTATGCAGGGTCTTTCTCTCCTGCTCCGTCCCTCCACCCTCCCAAGCATGACGTCCCTCTCCAAGGACTGGTCCCTCCTGGCAACATGTCCAAAATATGTCAGATGGAGCTTCAAAATCCATGCCTCCAAGGAGCAACCTGGTTTCACCCTCTCCAGGGTGAACCTGTTTGTTCTCCTGGCAGTCCATGGCCTGCCTACTCAGTACTCTTCTCCAGCACCACAGCTCAAAGGCATCAATTCTCTTTCCATCATCCCTGGTCACTGTCCAACTTTCTGACGCATAGCAAGTAATTGCAAAAGCTATGTATATATATATATATATATATATATATACATACATACATACATAGTCCCCTTTAAATTTTCAACTTGATACCTTTGAGGAGGTGCAGCAGCGTTAAGGATAAATATTGGTGTGTGTGGGGCTCCTTCTGACCCCGGGTGTACTGGGTGGTAAACTCTTCCAGCCACTTGATGAAAGCAGGGCAGGCTGACAGGCCCTGCAGCAGGGAGTTCATAAAGCAGGTGTTCCCTAAATTGACAAGGCCAGGAACGAGCCCTGGAAAAAAAAAAAAAGAAGAGATGAGCACACGGTGTCAGTCCAACCCTCTTCAGGACCCAGTTTCTGCAATGTGACCTTGAATCTGGACTCCCAATTTAACAAAACAAAAACCCAAAGGTCTGCTATTAAGCTGAATGACTCTGAGCAATGTTCCAGGCCCTGGTAGAACTACCTCTGGACGTTTCTAAGGCTGTAAATTATAGAAGTAGGTTTTCCTGTCTTTCCCCCATGGAGGAGCTGGTGGGTTCAAACCATTGACCTTTTCATTAGCAGCCATGCACTTTAGCCACTCTACCACCAGGGCTCCTTTCTCCAGTCTAAGAGGGTCCTTAATCCAAAGATCTCAGGTCAAGAGTCTAACGTGGGGAGGAGACTACACGACAGAAGGGTCCCCACCCTATGTCACAGTGATGGCTGGCACAGCCTGGATCGACGCACAAACACACTTAGCAATGATATGTCCTCTCTTCATTCTTTTCCACCCTGCTCTCATTCTCTCTTAATAAGGAAGGAATGACTCGCAGAGCTGAAAAGAACTGTTCTATTGTTGCTCCCCAAGGACAATGACTTTGCTTCAGTGGACAAGACACCACTATCTAAAGCTACTCTCAACAGTTTTCCTGAAAAGGTGATCAGTGACATTGGATAGATACCTCTTCTGCGGAAAAAAAAAAATCTCAACTGCTTTTACTTATGAAAGGTCAAAAAAAATGCACAGAGGGAAGGGAGCTGTGGTGGCCTAGTGGCAAGAAGCTGCCCTGCAATCCCGAAGGCGTGTGGTTTGAATCTACCAGACGCTCCACTGGAGAATGAGGAGCAATCGCCTCCTGTGCCAATTAGATCAAACTCGACGGTACACAAGAAAAAAAAAAAAATCCAACAAACCCACAAAGGGAGAGAATGATCTTAAAAAACCCAACCTGACTGTAACCATGCTTAGAGTTAATGATGAGCAACACTCTGTCATATCCGCTCATTCCATCCCCTTTTCTTGTGGAATTGTAACCCTTATCAGTACAGATATATTCAATTCACAAGGGAGAATGTTGATTAATGGAGACTCATTCAAAACGTTTACCAGTAACAAACAGGGAGCTCTGGTGGCCTAATGGCAAGGAGCTGCGCTGTCAACCTCAAAGCAAGAGGTCCAAAATCAGCTGCGCCTCTGCGGGACAAAGATGGGCAAGCTCCTCCCAGAGATTCACAGCCTTTGAAAGCCTGCTGGAGGGCCAGTTACGAGTGAGTTCTGACTTGATGGTATAAAAAACAACAGCGACTAAGAGCCATGCAAGGGGCCCTAGTGGTTCAATAGCTAAAGGCTTTATCGCTGAGAAGTTGGCTGATCAAACTTACCCAGAGACTCCTAGGAAGAAAGACCTAGTACTCTACTTCCATAAAGACTGCTGGTAGGTACGGCTGAGTTGGTTCCCACCCCCAGAAACCCTGTGTATGACTGACACCCTGCCCAGCCCCGCCTCATCCTCACAAGCATTGCTGTGTTTGAGCCCACGGCTGCAGCCTAGGGTCCATCCATCTATCTTATCGAGGGTCTTTCTCTTTCTGGCTACCTTCTGCTTTTCCAAGCATGAAGCCCTTCTCCAGAGGCTGGTCCCTCTTGATACTATGCAGAAAATACGTGAGGTGAAGTTGTTGGTTGCATTTCCCTCAACCCAGACATGTTCGTCCTTTTGGCAGTCTCTGGTCTAGTCATATTTTTTGAATATGTTGTTGTTGTTATGTGCCGTCGAGTCGCTTGCGACTCATAGCGACCCTATGCACAACAGCCCTAAACCCTGCTCTATCCTGCGCCAACCGCACTGCCTCTGACACACCCATCCCGATTACCCCAGTCACTGAATCAATCCATCTCATAGAGGGTCTTCCCCTCCTGCGCTGTCCCTCCACCCTCCCAAGCATGATGTCCCTCTCCAAGGACCCGTCCCTCCTGGCAACATGTCCAAAGTATGTCAGATGAAGCCTCAGAATCCTTGCCTCCAAGGAGTAGCTTGGTTTAATCCTCTCCAAGATGAATCTGTTTGTTTTCCTGGCAGTCCATGGTACATTCAGTACTCTTCTCCAGCACCACATGATGACATATATTTTTGAATATACTGTAATTCAAAAGAAGTAATTCTTTGGTCTTCCAGTGTTTTGCATTCATGTGAGGCAACTAAAAGTACTCTGACTAGGGCCAGGCACACCTTTGTCGTCACCCTGATATCTTTCCAAAGACCCCTTGGGACAGGATCATCTAATGCTGAGTGTTGCTCACTTGATGTCTTCTCCCCACCACCCCCAGAAATGAACAGGCCTTTATTGTGTTGTCTGAGAGGGACGCCAAGTGACCACCCATGGAGAAGGTAAAAATGGTGTTCATCTGATGTCTTAACTGCTGCTTCTACGTGAGTGTTGACTGTGGATCCAAGTAAAAGGAGCCCCCTCCCTGGTAACCTGCATCTTTTCTCCCCTTCGTTTAAGTGTAATCCACATGGGAGCTTCACCAGCCAGGGCTCCAAGTCCGCTTGGCTTTCAGGATGCGAGGTGGCACCATTCATGCAGGTCACTGATGGCACCGTGCTTCACTCCTGATATCATGTGTTCCATCCACACAGCCCAACTTCTTGGGTTATGTGCTGCTCAGTATCCAGGCTGGATAGGTATGATGAAGGCTTACAACTGATTTTTTTTATTATTATTATTTTTTTGTGTGCATGTACCGTCAAATCAGATCTGACTGGTACAGGAGGAGATTGTCCCTCCTTCCCCGGCACAGCATCTGGTGGGTTCGAACCGTGTGCCTCTGGGATTGTAGTTGCAATTCCTTGCCACTAGGCCACCAGAACTCCCCTGGCTTACAACTGATTTTAAACCATGCAGTGCTTCCTTGTTCTGTTCGGACAACAGCTTCTTGGCCTATGGACAGGTTCCACATGAGCACAAGTGTTCTGGGATTCTCATGCTTCACAATGTCATCCATAATTTATTAGGATCCACACAGGCAAATAAATGCCTGTCCATAGTGGATAAAATGCAAGTAAACATCTTTCTGGTATTCTCTGCTTTCAGCTAAAATTTCCTCACTTTAGCAATGATATCCCTTGTTCCTTGTCCTCTTGTAAATTCAGCTTGAATTTCTGGCAGTTCCTTGTTGACATGCTGCTCCAGAATTTATGTAATTATCATTCATAAGAGCTTAAATGTGTATGGTATTAAGGATATTCCATTATCAACAGATTTAGTTGGATCAGTTTTGCTTGGAATGGGCCCACAAAGGGATCTGTTCCAGTCAGTTGGGCGAGTAGCTTTTTTCAAAATTCTTGGCATCGAGAGCAGGGCTACAGTCCAGGGCAACATTCTTGTGTTGACACATCTCAACTGGTCTTCTGCCTATTCCTGGATCCCCGTTCTTCACCAAGGGCTTCAGTTCAGCTTGGACTTCTTCATTACCATCCGTTCCTGTTAATATGCTACTGGCTGAGATGGCTGAATGGTGATCAATTCTTCTTGGCACAATGACTCTGTGACTTTCTTCCATCATCTTTTGATGCTTCCTGTTTTTACTTAGTAAACTCAAGGCTTAAATCTGTTCTTCGGTGTTTTTCAGCGTGAGAAATGCCAGGCATGCTCTTCCCATCTGCTTTTCTAACTCCAGGCTTGCACAGTTCATCATAACACTGTGTCTTCTCAAGGTGCCTTTTGAAGTCTTCTGTTCAGCTTTCTTCTGTTATCATTTTCCCCATGTGCTTTAGCCTCTCTTTGATCTAGAGAAAGATTCAGACTTACGCCTGACATCATTTTGGTCTCTTCTTTCTTCCCTTCTTTTAGTGATTTTTCTTTCCCCATGAGGGACTTCCTTAGTATAATCTCACAATGGGTACAGAAGTTTAATATGCTCTGAAGTAATTGGGGGCGGGATGTCTATATGTGGTTTATCAATTATGCAAAGGCATTTGACTGTGTGGATCACAACAAACTGAGGCTTACCACCAAGAAGAATGAGAATCCCAGAACACTTGACTGTGCTCATGAAAAACCTATACCTGCACCCAGAAGCTGCTGTCTCAACAGAGCAAGGGACCACTGCATAGTTCAAAATCAAGTAAGGAATGCATCATGTATCCTTTCTCCGTATCTTTCCTTTTTCTTTTCCCCAGCTCCATACCTTTTCAATCTATATGCTGAACAGATCACTCAAAAGGCTGGATTTCATGAGGAAATTGTGGCATCAGGATTGAAGGAAGACTAATACAATCTTGCCAATACAGAGGAAGACACAACATTTGCCACAGAAGATCAAGGACTGCAGCCTTCAATATGGATCATATCTCAACATTAAGAAAACAAAAATCCTCACCATTAGGCCAATAGGCAGCATTATGATTGACGTTGTTTATGATTTTGTCTTGCTTGGATACACAATCAACACTCTGGGCACCAGCATTCAGGAAATCGAAAGACAAATTTCATTGGGAAAATTTATTGTCAAGGACCTCTCCAGAGTGCTAAAGAGAAATGATGTCAGTATAGAAACTAAGGTGTGCCCAATTGAGCCCATGGTCTTCTCAAATGCTTGCTATGCATTTGAGAGCTGGACAATGAATAAGGATGACAGAAGATGGTGAAGTTGGCTTAGGATAGGGAAGGTTCAGAGCTGTTGTTCATAGGGTCACTATGACTCATAGTTGACCCAGTGGCACATAACAACGCCACATGTATAATCCTTTGTGTTTTTAAAAAAGGTATTTACAGTGATTAGTGTGTTTGTTGTTGTTGTTTACGGTGGAGTCAGAACCAACCCATAGCTGACCCTCTGGCAGCTTTTCAGAGGCAGTTAACGCACAGGAGGAGATTGTCCATCCTTCTCCCACAGAGCAGCTGGTGGATTCGAACAGCATGCCTTTGAGATTGCAGCGTAGCTTTTTGCCGTTAGGCTACCAGAGCTTCCTAGTGATTAGGTTATTATTTGTAAAAAATGCCATCTTGCAACCTGTGACAACATTTCTGTCACCAAGGCTGCATCTTCATGCTTCCACCTTTGCATTCCAACTACCAGAAGTGATCCCTCAGATTGCAGAAGCTGGTAAAAATCACCTCTGGTTTTGGTATTTGGGGACTATATTTGAATAGACACACTAACAGATCTTTCTTGTATGTGTATGGATATTGTCCTGTCACTGAGCACAGACGTCAAGACAGACTTTGAAAAGTTCTGTTTGATTCAAAATCAATACCAGCGCATTACGGCCCACCATGCCTAGGACACCACTATGCCTAGGACAAGTGGGAGAAAGATGGGCATTCTCCTCCTGTGCAACTTACAGCCTCTGAAAACCTGCTGGAGGGGCAGCTATGAGTCAGTTCTGACTCGATGGTACACAGCAACATCAAGTCCAGTATCTAGACCTTTAGGTGTTCCACTGGATCTTTGACAATGTCCAATTTTCCCAGATTCCTATTTTCCACATTCCTCGTTCTGATCACCAATGGATGTCTGCAGTGTCTTCTCATTTTGAGTCATGCCCATCAGCAAACACAGGTCCTGAGAGCTTTCCTCTCGTCACACCATTAGGGTTGACACTGCTTTGAGAAGGCAGCTGTTCTCACGAGTCAGGATCGACTCAACAGTGGCAGGTTTCCTGCACCAAGGAGCCCATCTCACAGCACTCTGTCAGACATCCCACTGCCACTCCTGAGGCTGGCACTGGCCAACTCCTTCTCAGATGTCAGGTGTCAATTCATCTTCCTGGCCCGTCTGAATCTGGAGCTTTGCTGAAATCTGTCTATCAAGGGTGACCCTCTAGGTATCTGACATAATGGTGACACTGCTTTTATCACCCCAGCAACACAAAAGCCACCCCCTTAGGACAAATGGTCAAAGAGTGGTGGCCTTGAAAATTCCAGCCTGGAAAACCCACTGGGGCAGCTGTGCTGTGTCACATGAGGGTGACAGGAGTCAGTAGCAGTGACTCAACAGTCCCTAACAACAACAGCAACTAAAAGATACAATCACTTTGACAGCCTGCATCAAGAACGCTTAGACAATGAAGTCACTTGAAACATTCCCTTACAGAGGACGTTCCAAACCCAAGTCAGGAGAGATCCCAGCATGTAGAGCTCTTTACCACAGGTATAAAACAAGGAGTTACTGAAATGAATTTCTGGTTAAAAGAAAGTACTGTTTCAAAACCTGTGGTCTTCGGTCTAAAGATTCAAGAGAAAAGAAACATAGCCGTTTCCCTATTTTACACCATTCAGTCTCCAGAAGACGACGTGATGGCCATATTCTTACCTTTTCTCCGCTTTTTTCTCTCAGTGATGGGTCCCCAGATGACATATATTCCTGCTGCAAGTGCGGCGGCAATACCACCGATAACTCCCCAGTTTTTCATGACTTTATACCTGAAAAGAAGGAAAGTAGGTTTAGTGACTTCCCCTTCACATGGGTGACGCGTGGCGAGGGATGAATGTTGCGGGACATTGCTGAGCTGATTCCAATTCAGTGACCCTGTGAGTTAGGGCAGATCCGCACCTGGGCTTTTTGGCTGGGATCCTCACAGAAGGTGCCCCGGCGGTGCTGCGGTTAGTAGATGTGCGACCAACACAAAAACAGGCAATCTGAATCTCTCAGCTGTTCCTCGGGAGGAAGATGGGCACTTTTCTCCCATCTTTGAAAACCCACTGGAGGGTCAGCTATGAGTCGGTTCCGATTTGACGGTACAAAACAAACACTAGTGGCGCAATGGTTTAGAAGCTTGGCTACTCACTGAAATGTCAGCAGTTTCAATCTCCCCAGCAGCTCTGTGGGAGAAGGAGATTGTTTTTTTTTGTTTTTTTTTTTAGAAAGATATTCTTGTCTGCTTCCACATGCATCACAGTCCTGCAAACCTACAGAGATTTTCTGGAAAATTCTAATCTGCTCTTCAGGGTCACTATGAATCTGAATGGACTGGGTGGCACCCAACAAGCCTCTTATAGAAGCTTATCAACATCAACAGACATTTTCCTTCACAGTACTGCTGGGTGAGTTTGAACAACTGACTTTCAGATTCACAGCTGAGTGTGAACCATTTGTGGAGCCCAGGAAGGTTTTCGATCTACATGTGAATCTGAAAACTCACTGCCCTGAGTCAATTCCCAGTGCTAGAGAACCTCTGGCAAGCTGCTGAGGTTGTAAACCTTCATTGCCTTGTCTTGCTCCCATTGGGCAATAAAACCCCCAACACCAAACTTCATCTTTGGCCTTCAGAGTGGCTGGTGCATTTGGACTGTGACCTTTTCAGTCAGCAGCCTGCTACTTCATGCACCACGGGGGCTTCAAACCACCAGGACTTTCAAGTCAGAACAATGCACTCTAAAAAAACTGTCTTGAAAGATCAGCAAGAGTAAAGCATTAACATATAAAGCCCAAGAGAACAAGCTTCCAGGCTCCACCTCACTCCACTGTCATCATCTCAGTAGCTGCCAAAGCTGCCACTGCCCCAGCGCCAGGGCCTGTGCACGGACCAGTCTTCTGTCTGGAAGGTTCTTCCCCAAGCTCTTTGCTTGGTTCGTGCCCTCGTCTCCTTCAATCTTCAAATATGCCTACCCGGAATACAGGAAACCCTGGAGGAGCAAAGGTTATGCACTCTACTGCTAATCAAAAGGTCAGAGGTTCAAACCCAGTAGCAGCATCACACAAGAAAGACTTAGAGATCTGTTCCTATAAAGATTGTTCTTGTACCAGCAAGTTAGAGCTGACCCACAGTTGACCTTCCAGTGATTTCAGAGGCAGTTAATCACACAGGGGGAGACTGGCAATCTTTCTCCTGCAAAGCAGCTGGTGGGCTTGAACTGTGTGCCTTTGGGGGTTGCAGCACAGCTTCTTGCCACTAGGCCACTTTGTTCCAGAGGGTCACTATGAGTCAGAATCGACAGCACACAGCCACCACCACCCTGAACACACCAGCCGAACCTATTCCAGTTCTCTTCATCCACTCCTACTTTGCCTTTGAACAATACACTTATCACCTCTTAACACAGAATTTTCTTTTATGGATCTCTGGTGGCCAATAGGGAAGGCAGGCAGTTCAAATCCACCAGCTGTTCCATGGGAATAAGATGGGTACTCTACTGTGTGATTTACAGCCTCTGAAAACCCACTGGAGGGTCAGCTATGAAGCAGTTCCCATTTGACAACACTTCATAACAACAACAACAAATTCCCTTCTTCCCTAGGTTTATCACCTCTCCCTCAGCCAGAATATAAAGTCTACAGGCACAAGGCACTCTGTCCGACCCCTACATCCCCAAGTCCAGACTGTTCTGTACATTCACCAGGGGCCACAAGAGGAAAACAGCTAGTGTCCTCCTGCTGTGAAGTACAGCCTGATGGCAATGGGGCTGAGCGCTTCCTACGTGCAATGTGTACGTGTGTGTCTGTGGTATTCTTACCCTATATTTTGATCGTTTGAATCTTGGGCTGAGCTCAGGAAACAGGAAGTTGGGCTCAGTTACTAGCAGTAATAGTGACTTAATCTTATAATAAACAATGTTTCTAGTTCCAAGGCAGAGTCATATGCATAGAGCTTGTACACACAGATTGGATAAGAAAGTGAATCACATTCAAGTCAAACTCATCAGCTTGGACTCAATGACAAAGAACAATGTTCAGGGAATATAACTGCTTGCTGTCCAGTGAGAACCAAACCAGCTGACCTCCCAGTGGGGTTTGGAGGCTGAAATGGCACAGGAGCAGATGGGACATCTTTCCCCGCAGAGCCGCTAATGAATTTGAACCATCAGAGAAGAGCAGCCTTTGGGTTTGTAACACATTTCTCTATGGACTACCCCATCAGAGATCCGTGTAGAGCCTATGTTGTAGTCGAGGACCAATGGGTCGGAACGGACCCATAGCTGACCCTCCAGTGGGTTTTCAGAGGCACAAGGGTAGACTGCCTATCTTTCTCCCATGGAAAAGCAAGTGGATTTGAACTGCATGCCTTTGGGATTGCAGCACAGCTTCTTACTACTAGGCAACCAGAGCAAACTAAGAGCTTAATAAATGTTGAATGTTATTATTAAGTATTATAATCCAGTTTAATTTATGAAAGTTATTCTTACAAGTTTCTTAAAGCATCACTTTTACATTCATTAGAGTGATAAGGTCAAAAGGCCATCACAGACATGCTAATGCACTTTCCAAGCATTCGTCACATCCTTTACTCAGATGTTTGCTGTTAGGTGCCCTGGAGTCACGTGCAACTCACAGCGACCTATGAACAACAGCTGAATCCCGCCCTGTGCTGTGCCATCCTCATCGCCTCTGACACTTGAGCCCACTGCTGCAGTCACTGTATCAATCCATCTCACTGGGGGCCTTCCTCTCTTTCGCCAACTCTCCCCATTTCCAAGCCTGATGCTCCTTTCCAAGGAATAGCCTCTCCTGCCAACAAGCCTACAGCATGAGAGACGAAGCTCTGCCGTGCTTGCCTCTAAGAAGCACTCTGGCTGGACGTTCCCCAACACCTACAGTGGGGCAGAAAGTCCCTCGGTGGCACAAATGGCTTGTGCTCGGCTACTAACTGAGAAGGTGGCAGTTCAAATCCACCCAACGGTGCCACTGCAGAAAGGCTTAGCAATCTACTTTTGTAAAAGAGCAACTGCTGATAACTATATAGGGTCCAGATCTTCTGACACACAGCACAGCCGTCTGCAATGAGTTGTAGAGGAACTGATGACAACAGGTTGGTTTTCTTAGATTTTTAACTCTAACTGCAGCTGGATCTGTTCTGACTCATTGCAACCCTCCATCAGGTTTCTGAGGATGCAAATTTTTTAAAAAATTGTAATCTGACTGATTTGCTTTGTTCCACAATCAACACTCTTGATATCAGCAACCAGAATATCAAAAGACGAACTGTATATGCACACCCATGTTCACTGCGACTCTGTTCACAATAGCAAAGGGTTGGAGACAACCCAAATGTCCATCAACAAATGAATGGATAGAGAAGCTGTGGTATAGTCACACAATGGAATACTATGTTGCATTGAAAAACAAGGAATTAATGAAATATTATTCAAAACGGATGACCCTGGAGGACATTATGCTGAGTGAAATATTTCAGTCACAAAAGGACAGATACTGCATAGTGCCACTGTTGTAAAACGGAACTAACATCAGGGTTAAGAGAGACTGAGAAAGAGAGGATAAATAATGTTTACTGCATTGAAACAGATGAGGGAGAAAACTGTTTAAAAGCAATATATGATTAGGTACTATTATCATGACAGGAGTCCAGAATTAAGGCTGCATAGGGGAGTGCACTTGGCAGGACGACTGTATAACCATGAAAGTATTTTTCTTTTACTTTTCAAAGAGAAAAGCAAATTCGGGGGGAGGGGTAGGCAGGGAGAAAAATGCAATAATGAATGAATGGAAACCCAAAGTCTCTGTAAATGTTCATTAAAATTAATAAACAAACAAAAAATCTAAACAACAACAAAAAAGACGAATTAGATTGGGGAAACTCCTGTCAGGGACCTCTCCAGAGTACTGAAGAGCAATGATATCAGTCTAGAGACTAAGGTGTGCCTGATCCAGGCCATGGTCTTTGCAATTACTTGCTATGCATCAGAAAGCTGAACAATGACTAAAGATGATAGAAGAAGAATTGATAACTTTGAGTTTGCTACAGAAGAATATTGTATATATCATGGGCCACCAGGAGGACAAACAGGGTTCATCCTGGAGAGGGTGAAATCAGGTTGCTCCTCGGAGGCAAGGATTCTGAAACTCTATCTGACATACTTTGGGCATGTTGCAAGGAGGGACCAGTCCTTGGAGAGGGACATCATGCTTGGAAGGGTGGAGTGACAGAGCAAGAGGAAAGATCCTGGATGAGATGGATTGACTCAGTGACTGAGGTAAGAGGTGTAGGTGTGTGAGAGACAATAAGGTTGGCACAGGATAGAGCAGGGGTCAGAGCTGTTGTACGCAGGGTCACTATGAGTTTCAAGAGACTCAATGGCACATAACAACAACAACAACCTGACTGAACAAGCTTCTTTTTATAAGGCTTTTTTCCCTTCAGTTATTCATACACATTTTACTTCATGACAGCAGTTACAATACACACAATACCTATTCATTCCATATTGGTTTTTTCTTCACTCATCTTAATATTTTTTACCCCTCCCCTCTCCTCCTCTCCCTGGTAATTACTCTACAATGATTATCTTTGTAAGTAAAGCTCTCTCTAGATTTATGTCCTTTTTTTGTAGTTGATTTCTTTATCTCAGCATAATGTCCTAACAGAAGAAATCTGTCCATCTTTCTCCTGAGGATCCGCTCATGGGTTTAAACTGCCTGCTCATAGCTGGCCCTCTGGCTGGTTTTAAGAAGGTGTAAATCACACGAGAGGAGATGTTTTATCTTTGCAGAGCACAGGGTGCCTTTGGGTTGGCAATGCAACTTTTTACCCACTAGGCCACCTGATCTCCCTCCACACTATGGCACCAAGGACGTCTTATTACTCTGTGCTAGGCACTGGGATGATCGCATCTCACCCTCTAAACCACCCCACAGAGACAGGCTCTGCTTTCATTCCCATTTTCACACAAAGAAAACAAAGAGATGCAGCAAACTTGGTTAAAGTGAATCAGGTAGCAAGGATCCAAACCCATCCCTGACAGACCTCCAAGTCAAAAGCCCCACTGTTCATGAGGGGGAGTGAAGGACACAGTTGAAAGCATGAGAGAAAAGATGTGCCCCAACCACTTGAATAGCACAAAAATGTTAACATGCTTAACTGTTAACCCAAAGGGGATGTCACGAGTTGGTATTATTAAGTGCCAAGGGGCGGTTAATAGGATGTGCAAAAAAACTCAGGGCAAGTGGCAACATCGCTATTCTGCAAAGGAACAAGTCAGGAAAGGTAGTGGGGCCTGGGTATAAGCTCTGGTTTTTCATCTCAGCTCTGCTGTCAGTTCAGCAGTGGGGCCACAAAGCAAGGCTGTCTTAAAGCCCTTCCCCAGGTGTGGAATGGGGGCACCGAACAGGACAGCCATTGAGGGCTTGTTTTCAGTCCTGGGATAATAGCTCTTTAGACCGGCTCCAGTTCTAGGTCTCGTTCACGTAGGGTTAGTCCTGGGGCCCAGTTCTCAGCTCGGAAGCCTGGAGTCCTTGGGAAGGGTGGGTTAAAAGAGGAGAGGGCGGCTCTGAGCAGAGCTTCTGATCCAGATGATTGGGAGTCAGGGCGTCTGAGAGAAATGGAGGGGCCTTGACAGGGTCAAGGCACCCCAAACAGCTGAAGGAGCCCTGATGGGTTTAGGAATGTAGGAAGTTACTAAGGAGATGGGGAACCTGAGCAAAACTGGGGCGCCCTGGCAGACTGGAATCCGACAAAAGAGATTCTGACGAATCTTCCCTGGTCATTTAAGGATTAAGAAAACCCTGGCAGGATTAGACAGCCTGAACATAGTGGGAAACCCTGGCAGTGTATAAGGAGGGGAGGTCCTGGAAAGGTGGGGTGGGGGGTATGTGCTGGAAGGAGTAAAAAGATCCTGTGGAGATTACGATCCTTGATAGATCCAGAGTCACAAACAGGACTGGGAGGCTTCTGCTAAGACTGTAGAATCTGGTTAAAACTGGAGACCTTGGTAAATCCTGGCACGGACATGACTGGGTGTCCCAAACGATTCAGGCATTCCTATAAATCCTGGGGACCTTGGCTGGCCTATGTGCAAGACACGAGTAGAATCCGGTGCTTGACAAAACCAGGGGTGCGGTGAGCAATGCTAGGAAAAGTGACAAGTGAAGGGGTGCACTGACAAGTTGGAGAATCGCACTGACAAAATTGCTGGGGGAACTGCAGGGAGCAGACAGACCTGGTGTTCGTTCCCGAAAGGTCTGGAAACCCTGAGAGGCCTGTGGCCTGTGCAGCCTCCAAGTCGTAGAAACTTCCAGAGTGAGCACCTGGGCTCCGGGAACCAGGGCCAAGACGTGAAAAGGCTGCCTCGGGCCGGGGCTGGGGTCCCGGGTGTCCCAGGCCTCCTGATTCCCGCAAGGCTTACCTGACCGCCGCCCCGGTACGCAGGAAGCGCTGGATAGCCCTGTCGGCCGCAGTCATCGCCGCCTCGGCCCTGGAGAGTAGCATGGCGACTGTGCTTGAAGCTCTGCCGCCGCCCCCGCTGCCTCCGGCGCGGCCACTGCAGTCGCCACGGCCGCCGCTACCGCCGCACCGAGGCCTCCGGGAGCTCCCAAGGTGGCGGAACCCGCGGTCAAACGCCCGGCTCCTCAGGGGAGGATGAGCTTAGGACCCGCTCCCGGGACGGGCCGGAAGTGGCCGCAGCCGGACTGCAATAGCGGTCGGACCACGTCCTTCTTGGTTCGAAGCAGGTGCCTTGCGCAGGTGTCAGAAGGCGGTCACAGAGCGCAGGGCTGCCTTTTTTTTTTTGCTGATTTTTTTTTTTTCTTTTAAATTTTCCTCATTGCTGGGTTAATCAATATAGACGCCCCGCTTCTGAGAGGGACTGTGGGTCATGATTTGAATTTGTCTGTGTGGCGAGGGCGGTCTGCCCGAAAGCAGGCTGCCTTTGATTAATGTCACCAGAGAAAGGGCTTTTAGTAAGATGTGGCCCAACTTTGACGGCCTCAAGTAGGGAGCCAGAGCTTGTACTTTGTTTTGTTTTTTAATTTCACGTTATTTTTTATTAATGTCCAACCGAATTTTACCATTTCCTTCAATTATTTGGATAGGCAACATTTTCACCGTAGCTTCATCTTCAATTCATGTTTTCAGCTTTAAAAAGAATATATACCTTAGCACATATTACAGTTATTAGAGATACTGTGACGTATTGTTGGGTTTTTAAAAAATTAATTTTAGTGAGAAATTTACAGAAATGGAAACTAGGGTTTTTAATAATAACAGACACCAAATATAGGTAACTTAAGTGCCTGAATAACAGACACCAAATATAGGTAACTTAAGTGCCTGATGCATGCCTATGCACATTGCATGCATTATTCCTGTTGAATCTTAACACTGACTCTGAAATTAAGCAGATTTTACGTCCCAGGAAACCCAAAAAGTTTCGGTCTTAAAACAATTTGTAAACTGTAAATTTAGATTGATACTCATCTCTAGAATAATGCTGTCAAGGGGCACATTGCATCTATGGCTTCTAGGGGAGTTCTGTTAATTCAAAGGCTGCACACCTTTGGTGGTTCTAACGCTGTGCAATCAATCTGTGTTATGTAGCCTCAGAAACCCAGTGGACGGTTATAAAGGACACAAAACTTTCCACTTGAAGGCAATGACTTTGAATTCACCTTACTGGATTCCACAATCAACACCCTTGGCACCAGCAGTCAGGAAATCAAAAGACTTTGCAGACACCGTGGCCTTGGCAGCACTGGTGTCTTGTCACTCACAGCCATAGTCACAATGTACTTAGACTTCCCCATTGATGGCGAACCTTTAGGCCATATCTCCTTCTAGCTGTTTGCAAATAAAGTCTCAAAGACAGTAGAAAAAGTCCAAGCTCGGTGAACTGTAGAGAAAGGGTTTGGTTACAATGATTCCTGCTTTCACAGAATTTTTCCTGGGTTTCTGTGCCAGAGAGGTGACTTCATACACCATAATGATGCTGGTGGCAAATCCATCTATATAGAGGGAGAAGTTTGACAATGAGAACTTGATGATGACGCGCAGAGGTCCTGACATCCTGTTTATGGCAAATGCTGGGAGCCCATTACAAATGGTTCCCAGGTTTTTTATCTGTACTGCTAAGACTGAATGGATGGAGGACAGGCACGTAGCCTTGAGAGAAGACATGAACATTGTGGAAGCCATGGAGCGCTTTGGGGCCAGGAATGGCAAGACAAGCAAAAAGATCATCATTGCTGACTGTGGACAACTCTAATATGATCTGTTTTCTCTTAGTCACCAGGCCAATCCTTCTATAGCTCCAGAGATCACGCTGCTAGCCGCCTCCCATGCCCCCGCTGTGTGCTGTTGCCACAGTTGTTTGAATTCTGTGTTTTCCACATTCCCCTCCAAGTTTACCAGGATTGCAGTTACGTTTATAATTATGAAATAAAAGCTAGACAACACTATTGTCTGCCGCGGGCTGCTCCAGTTGGGAGAGGCTTAAAAGCCTGAGGTTTAGGGTCTTGAAGAAGGGAACACGAAGGTGGGTAGAAGTTTGGCGAAGGGACGATGAAAGAACACGAGACAAACAGTCAAGTGATCTTGATGATTTTAATTCTCAGTCACTCTATTTCCCCTTCTTCTTTCTTACCTTGCTTATTACATTTAACATGATACATTTATATTCCATTTTTACAATTAGAGGCTTAATCAACAGCCAGAAAAACAACAAGAGTAAGAATAAAGTTTACGTTATTTTCTTACACACAGCTATTTTTTATGGTCATGGTTCCTTGGAGAGCATGAAAGGCTATTCTTAATGGTCATGGTTCCTTGATAATTGGAGAGCCTGTTAGACAATGGCTTTTAGCTTAAACATTTTCTTTTTAAACCTGTTTTTAAACCT